AATCCTTAGTCTGTGTGATCAGGATGTCCATTCTCCTGCCAGCTTCTCAAACAATTGCTTGTAAAAAAAATTGCCATTTTGGCCCAATCTAAAGGTTTGGTTCAGTCCAAGGTTCAAGACAGCAAAGCAGTTTCCCTGGAAAGGCAGCTCCAGCTCCATTTTAAAATGGCTTCACTGTAGTTGATTTTGACAGTACAATTGTGGCTGAACTGGGATTTTTTTTTTTTTTTTTTTTGTGAGGAAAATCAGCCCTGAGCTAACATCCATGCTAATCCTCCTCTTTTTGCTGAGGAAGACCGGCCCTGAGCTAACATCTATTGCCAATCCTCCTCCTTTTTTTTTTCCGTTTTTCTCCCCAAAGCCCCAGTAGATAGTTGTATGTCATAGTTGCACATCCTTCTAGTTGCTCTATGTGGGACGTGGCCTCAGCATGGCCGGACAAGCTGTGCGTCAGTGTGCGCCCGGGATCCGAACCCGGGCTGCCAGTAGCGGAGCACGTGCACTTAACTATTAAGCCATGGGGTCGGCCCCTGAACTGGGATTTGAACCAAGGTTATTTCTGACCCCAAGATTACTGGAGTGTGGCCCATTATGCCACACTATTGGTTTCTCAGCAAATAGATATCAAATGTCAGTATAACAAATAGATAACAAGTGTTAGCAAATATTGTTAAGTGAATATATGAAAAATGAAAAAACCAACGTTGAGTGCCTGTAAATTATCTTGAGCCCTTTGCACATTCTCTGAAAACATGAATCACTTTTATTGCTTTTAACTTTTGGTTATCTGGGTAAATGTGAAACACTTAGGTCTTTTCTAAAATACTTATGAGGTATTTTTTCGGGGTATGGGGCAAACGTTCCAGTAATTTCTGACTGTTTGTAATGAAGACACTAATTATCAGCTGAAAGAAAGGAATAGAATTCCTGACGAGTCTGTACTTAATATGCTTTTGTTTCTCCTCATGAATCTAAAAAGCCTCTTCTGGTCTGTAGGAGAACTGAGTTTTCTTCTGACTTCCTCTCTGGAGGATTCTTGTTTCTCAGTCTATGGGTAAATAGTTCAGGGTGGCCTCACCCCCTCAGACTACTTAGGTGTAGACACATTCTTTCATTTTCTTCCTCCTGTTGCTAAGACCCTGACTGTTCACCCTTAAGTGGAGATAATGACTGCAGAGTGCTTCATGAAAAAATAGGACACTCATAAATATTTGTTGTGTATGGATAATAAAATCGAAGTAGAATAAAACTGATGTCTTTTAAAAAACACTAAGAGAAGCATATTGTGGTAGAAGGACTCTGTGATAGAAAGTCATCCTGGGATCTGCTCTTGCTTTAACATAGTGTTGGGTAAATTAGAAGATCTTGCTAAGCTTCAGAAACGTGACCTGTAAAATGAGTTGGTTGGGTTAGATATCTGCATATTTTTCTCTTTTCTAGGAGATATCCTTGCCCCCGCACAAACATGGCATTCTCCTTCCCGATGCACATAATGAACAAGCCAATTAATTATGGCATCAGCTTTTGGGAGAGAAATCAGCTTTATTCTGCGAAATCAATCTGCAGAGAGACAGTGTGTGCGTGCCCTCAGATCTGTCTCCTCAATTCAGGATTTGGGGTGAAATTTAAGAGGTTAGGGAGAAGGCTGGCACACAGAAATGCTGGTGGGACAGGTTTTGATTGGTGGGCTTCAAGCATTTATGGTAAGGTTCTAAATGTTTATGATAAGCTTCTAAACATTTATGATGAGGTTCTAAACATTTATGATGAGGTTTTAAACATTTATGGTAAGGTGGGGAAGGAATTTTAACAGTAGATCTTCCTGAATGACGGACCCCTTGCTTCTGATAAGGGTCTGACTTTTAAGTTCCAATCATGTTCAGGTTCTTTGGTTCTGTGAGGAGGAGAATCTTTGGTTCCACGATCATTTTGGGCAAGATTTCTTCTGCGCATGCTCTGGCTACATGACTTTGCAAATTTTCTGAAAGGCAATTCTTTTTTAAATTTATTTTATTGAGGTCATAATAGTTTATAACATTGTTAAATTTCAGTTGTACATTATTATTTGTCAGTCACCATATACATGTGCCCCTTTACCCCTTATGCCCAGCCCCCAACACCTTCCCCTCTGGTAACCACTAATCTGTTGTCTTTGTCCATGTGTTTGTCTTCCACATATGAGTGAAATCATACGGTGTTTGTCTTATTTGTCTGGCTTATTTAGCTTACCATAATACCCTCAAGGTCCATCCCTGTTGTTGCAAATGGGACAATTTTGTCTTTTTTATGGCTGAGTAGTATTCCATTGTATATATATACCACATCTTCTTTATCTATTTGTCAGTTCTTGGGCACTTGGGTTGCTTCCATGTCTTGGCTGTAGTGAATAATACTGCGATGAACATAGGCGTCCATAAGTCTCTTTGAATTTTTAATTTCAAGTTCTTTGGAGAAATACCCAGTAGTAGGATATATTATTTCTATTTTTAATTTTTTGAGAAATCTCCATACTTGAAAGGCAATTCTTAGTCACTCTGTTGATAAGATGGGGTCAGTTGAACTGGTCCTGGAGGGCCCATGGTTATATCCTCAACTTTATTTTACGATCTGTCTGTTGGCCTATTCATTCAGGCTATCAACCCTGATTTCCAAGATTGAACATGTATTTGTGTGTGTATGTGTGTGTTTAAAACAGAATCAAACAAATCTTTTCTACTTGAGGATAGGAGAGAGAAGAAAGCTCTTAGAGGCTCAAGCCCTTTCCTTTCTATCTCTGCCTCCACATATTTCCCTGTGTTTTGGGCAGTGGCCAGGGTATACCACTCTCCTCACCTGACTTTGACCAAGGTTGAATTTAAAGAGACAAAAGTCATCTGTGTAACCTCTACCTTTGCAAATCTCATTTGACTTTCAGTATAGTTGTCTTAAATAGGCCTTTCTACTAATTGACACTTTTTATGAAAGGAGTTTTTAGAGGAAGAAAAGCATAATAGAAACTGGTTTGAGCTATTACCTTCACCCCCTCAGGATATTTGTCTGAGACACCGATAGACAGTGGGTGTGAGCTTACAACAATTATGGACTCGTTAAGGTGGCAGCACACCAGGAGTCAGGTGTCATTCTCTCTACTCCCTCTCTTTTTAGGTTGAATATATTATGAGAATAAAGGAGAGGTGATGTTGAGTGTGAGTGATTGATTGCAACACGATAGACTTTCTAATTTTTTCCTGTCCATATTATGGATGAAATATAAAGAGGGAAACACTTTAAAACTGATTGTGAATGCTCACTAGATAATGTATTTTGCACCAAATAGTACACTGTGGTAATTCTAGCCATGCCTCCCTTGTAAATAATAGTTTGCTACTTTTCTACGGCATCCATAAACTCCAAGCCCCATGGGAGATGTCTTTTGTGTGCTGTTCTTTGCTTGCCCCTTTAGGAGGCATTCGCTGTCACCCAAGATTGGATCTAGGGCTCCACTGGGTAGTATTGGTTGTGCTGTACTTAATTTCCCCGAGAGCAGCAGTCATGTCTTAATACTTACTAGATTGGAGTAAATAGCACAGTAGTTGGCACATAGTAGGAACTCAGTAAATATTTGTTGATCGGAGGTTAGGTTACTATCAGAAATTGATGCTTAATGACACCATTGTTAGGAATTTGAGTCCCAGTATATGGGCTATCTACTTTCACTCTTGAGTGGCCACAAATAACACAGAATTTTCCCTTACATGGTAGAAGACATGGATCACAGGGCTTTTCAATGATAATCTGTGGATGGAGTATGTCCGTCCTACTCTTAAGATGAACTACTTACAGCCCCACTCTTTCAAAGAGGAGACAGTGAAATTATCCTTGTATATATAAAAATTGAACAAATTGCTATACAGTCATGTGTCACTTAATGATGAGATATGTTCTGAGAAATGCGTCATTAGGGGATTTTGTCGTGCAAACATCATAGAGTGTACTGAATGGGAACAAAATTTGCCACCCCAAAATGCGTCTCCTTAATATGAGGATTAATTTAGGCTGATTATTTTTAAGAAACAAAAGACTCAAAGTTTTTCTTATTACCTCCCTCTTAACTACTTAAAAGAATTTAGGTTAAAAAACCTATCTCAGGAAGCGAGATATCACCTTAGCATAACATGAATTAAGTGGTGACAGGGAAGAACCTAGGAAAGTCTGTTTGTTGTGCTCCCCTCTGTGTTCTTCTGTTTGTGTGTGGCCAAACACTTGTTTTCCAAGTATTTGCTCCTTTTCACCTACCTGTGAATTGCCTTCCTTCCCTTTGAAGTCTCTGACTCTCCTTACCTCCAACATCTTTTTTTTTTTTTTTTTAAATTATTAAGGCATTTTACATAGTTTTTACACTGTCTTCAAGATTTTTTATTTATTTATTTTTTTCCCCCCAAAGCCCCAGTAGATAGTTGTGTGTCATAGCTGCACATCCTTCTAGTTGCTGTATGTGGGACGCGGCCTCAGCATGGCCAGAGAAGCAGCGCGTCGGTGCGAGCCCGGGATCCGAACCCGGGTCGCCAGCAGTGGAGCGCGCTCACTTAACCACCAAGCCACGGGGCCGGCCCCTCCAACATCTTCTTTTGTCTTTAGCTGAGGATTATATTTAAGGTGAGGGCTTTGGCCATTTTGGTGAGTTATTCAGTTTTCCTGGGTTTCTCCCATGTATACAGGTTATTAAATTTCTTTGATTTTCTTCTGTTAATCTGTCTCATGTCAATTTAATCCTTAAACCAGCCAGAAGAACCTAGAAGAGTACAGGAAAATTTTGTCCTCCCCTACAGTACTTACACAAACCTAGATGGTATAGCCCACTGCACACCTAAGCTGTATGGTACTAATCTTATGGGACCACTATTGTATATGCTGTTTGTCATTGACTGAAATGTTGTTATGTGGCACATGACTGTACATGCAAAGTATAGACATATCGCCAAATGATTATTCACTTAAAAATGTTTTTTTAAATATTTTAGGGGTATATTTGCTCCTTTTCAACCAGCACATGTCACCATACCAAATTTTATACAGATCCAGTGGAAGCTGTAAAAGATATCCCTGATGGTGCAACGTTACTGGTTGGTGGTGAGTAATAGTATTGTTTTCCTTTAATATGGTAACATCCTTATGTTTTTAGCAAAGGAGGGAAATCACAGTGGCAAAGCTATGTAGATTAGAAATACCAATTATTTTATTACTTAGTTGTTATTTATTCATTATTTTATTTTTATTTATTCATTACATATTATATTATCTATTATTTTTATTACAGTGTCCCCTTCCTGGAAGTTTAGCAAGGTGTAGCACTTTATATTTTACCTTTTTTCCTCTTATGTTTTCTTGTTCTGTTACTTTGAAGAGCTGAAGCTTCAAATGTTGATGTCTTATTAGTAGGTTTGAAAAATCCCTAGATCCTTGGGAATTCTGATCAACTTAAAAAGTTGACGCTGATCTCATCAGCCTCCACCTAGTCACTCCATTTATTAGTCGTCATTTTATGAGGTAGAGAGCACATAAGCATCTATCTATTATTGAGCCCCCGAAGTTCTATTGCTTCTTTGTGTTTGGAATGTCTTTTAGAACCACTTTCTCACACTCATTAAACTTGCTGCCTGAATCTTATAAATTTCTTTGGGTTTCTAGGCCTTGGTCACAAGGATGAAGGCTTATTTTTAGGGCTGCTCTTCATTCATTCAACTGATCAGTCATTGAATGTCCATTTTAAACCCAATACTATTTGAGATTTGTGGAGGATGTAAAGAAATAAGAGGCATTGGCCTAGGCTTCTAATTCTGCTAAATTTAGTCAGGCATATAAAACAAACATGTTTGAAAAAGTGACTGTATAAGAATTGAATTATAAAGTGGGGCAATAATAGATGTGAAGTTAAGTGCAAGAAGAACAGTGTGTAGCCATATTTACACTTTGCACTTGGCTTTACACTTATGAATCAAGGACTTGGCAGTGACGTCTGGTGCCATATAATGGTGTGAAACATTTGGATACAGCCATATGACCATTTATTGAGTTGCTGAGATATATCTGTGCATTTTGCTTCATAGATCTAATAATGTGCTTTGTATTTTCTCTTTTTTATTAAAAAGAATAACACACACATGTCCCTGAAAGAACATGACTCTTTTCACAAATTGTTTATCTTTTTGGCTTGTTATAGGTTTTGGGTTATGTGGAATTCCAGAGAATCTCATAGGAGCTTTACTAAAGACTGGAGTAAAAGGACTAACTGCAGTCAGCAACAATGCAGGGTACGTGTGCATTTTTAGAACAATTGGCTTGAAAGAAATGACAGTTTTCCATAGTATTGAAACAAAGTTTATCAGTGAAATGAAAGTTTTCCCCATTTACGTGAGCAAGATGCTGAAGCATCAAAACATCATGTTTAACAAGCTCAAGAGTAGAGGTTACATGTATTCAAATATTTTTGGTACCATCCTTCATAATCATAAGTAAAGCAGACTTGCATAATTTTATATCTTAATCTGATGTGCTTTTATTTTTCGAAATGTCGGATATATTGTTAAAGTTAAAATATATGTTTTCAAATTGAATCTTACATTTTATAATTTAGAGATGTTGCTTTATGTTGTATGTTATTATAGATCATTATTGTTAAAGGAAGATGGACATCAATTTGAAATCTATTTCAAGTTCTTTCTTTTGGTTATGGCATTACTCTGGATGATATATAAGAAATACCATTGATTATTAAAAATGTTGCAGGTCTTGGTAGAAGGAGCAGAATATGTAGCCAGCACTTAAGGCCATAGGACTGCATATCAAAATGGTCAACAGTAAGCCTAACATTTTAAAAATGGCATGCACATTAAGATACTTTTAGTTATGAAGGAAAAAGCTATTTTTATACAAAATGGTAAAATATCAGCTTTCTTTCAACAATGAAAGACTTTAAAGATTTTAAAAACTTAAAAAAATTTTTTTCACTGAATTGGCAGTTTAGCCTATTATTGTCAATGCAATTTAGAATAAAGAGCAGATTATTATTTAGGAAACAAAACTGATCCTACATTTGTGCTCATTTTTTCTTTGCTGAGTTTATTTATGCTGCTATTTTCATCTGGAAGGCTCTCCTATCTCTTCTCTGCATCCACATCTTTCCCATCTTTTAGGATTCGACTCAAGTTGCATATCCTTAAAGAAGCCTTGTCCGATTATAGAATGTCACTAACCTTCATTGATCTTGCCCTTTTCTAAGTTCCTTTGGAGACTTTTGGCCTTTCTTTGTATACTGAATTATGTTTATTCTCTATGCTATATATTATAGGCCGATCCTGTTGATTACAGTGGTTTGCTATCCCCTGCTGTGCGTAGCCTGTGAGTATCAGAGTCGCTGAGTGTTGGAGCTGGATGGAATTGTAGAGATCATCTGTTCCTGTTCCCTCATTTAATATAGGAAACGTGTCTGTAAATAGAGAAGTAACTTGGTCATGGTCACTTGATATTTCTTAATCATATCCCATGCCCTTTGAACTGACTTTATATTGAAAAAATACTTTTGAGTATCAGTACTTTGTTGGGTTTTCCAGATAGCTTGGTGCTTACGAGAGATGGTTGAGATCAACATAAATTCTTGATGCGGAGTAGGTACTGATAGCCTACTTCATTGAACACCAAGTAGGCACTTTGCATGCCTTCATTGGCAGTTGATTCTTCTAATTAGAGGGTTTAAATCCTACAGGAATGAGGACTTGGTTTTGGCCAGAAGAGTCAGATGAATGAGGAAAACTTAGCATTGCTTCATTGGAGAACTAATGACATTGTTTGAATTGTTGGGTAAATGGAGAGAACTTGGAATTAGAAGTAATAACTAGTTTCTCATTTATGGAACGATCTGCTTGAATTGGAAGTGTTTCCAAAGCTCAGGACTCCTGATTTTCTGTTTTTGTTTTGTTTGTTTATTTTTAATAATCAATAAGACTTGTTGTGATGAGGTGCCACTTACCTTGGTATGGAGTATTAACTGTTAGTCTTTTAGTCTTGGTAAGATAAATCCTCCCTTAGGATCACTCAGATGAATCAATAGTTTGATATGGATTGATTAGGAAGGTAGGAAAAATTGAGAATGGGCCTTTCATTGATTTTTGGAAGACTTTAACATAAGAATTACAAGCCTGTTTGAACCAAAAGTTTCACAATAAACTATATATCAACCAATTAAATCACAAAGCCAAGAGAAGAAAAGATGTGTTACAATAGTCATCTCATTTCCTCATGACAAGGTTATTTTAGATTACGGGTCTTGAAGGTAGGGATTTAGACAACTCTGAGGGCAGCCCCACTTACATGTGGAAGACTAATCAATACTATGTGGTAATATGTACCTGTGCTGGTGATTACAGTACTGTTACTAGTATATAGTAATATATTTGTCATGTGTAGGAATTCGTTGAGGGCCCGATGAGCAGTTTCTCACTCCAAATAAAATTTCTGGTTCTGTACCAGTGATTTTGAACCTGGAGATAAAGGCAAGATAAAGGGCCCTATGCTGTGCCCTCTTTCTTGTTTGTTGAGGCAGCTGCAGCTCTGAAGGGCTCAATGGAGAGATGTAGGCCACATTGGTTGATTACAAGCATTCCCTCAAGGTTTGGTTATTTTGTCCGGGAAGGGCTAACCACTTCCTGGGATGTGCACTTGAACTTCTGTACTCGGCTCATGGAAGATTTCACTTATCCCATATAACTGTGTCATAAATTAACCTTATATCCAAATACAGCCTTTTCTTTTCTTTAGATACTCTGGGTATTATCAGAGTAAATATAAATTGTGTAACTGAGATTTAAAGTATGTCTAAAATGAGAGTACACAAGAGAAATACAGTTTGGTCAATGGTTTGCAGCTTCATTTTTACTAGTGTTTTATTTTGACAAGAATTGTCAATGAGATTTCAGAAAATGAAAATTCAGAAAATGAAATTTCAGATTCAGAAAATGAAAGATACTTGCAGAACATTGATGTCTTCCATGAAATATCTTTTTGCTTTACATTAATATGTCTGTTTAATGAATTCTTGACTTTAGACTTCTTTTAGCCACTAAATTGTTTGAAACCTGAGTTTCTTGTGCTGCAGGAAAAAGATCAAATCTCTCTCTTGTTAGGTAGCCTATAAAAATGTTGGCTACTAAAGGAGAGCAAGATAATCTCTTTGAAAGTTCATCAGAATTATCTTTAATATCAAAGAGCTGCAAGATGCTTTAATATATATGTTTCTCTAAACGAAATGGTATGTTCCTCATTTGCAGGTCACATATGTCTTTCTTTTTTCTTTATATTGTGAGTAAGGACCTTGCCTTATTCTTTTTTGTATAGTGTCTGATATACAGTAGATAAGGGACACATGTTTTCTGAATTTGTGAATTGGAAAGTATGTGGCAAGAAAGACACTCTTATTAAAAGCCTATTTAACAGCATTTTTTGAGGCATAAACATAATTTTGTACCTGGTTAGGTGGTAACCTGGGTTGAGCATCTTCTGCACTGCTTGGTTGTCATGCCAGGTTGCTAGTCCAGAAACAAAGCAAAGGCCAAATACACATGGTTTCCAGAGCCAAGATCAACAAATACAGAGAGGTCATTTCCAAGCAGAGCCAAGTTCAAATGTGTAATGGGTTGAAAAGCCAACAGAGATCCGTGAAGAGTGGGTAGAAAAATTCCCAAGTCAATGAATGACCAAGTAAATTCTGGCTTATGGCATGGACCTGTGTGCTTGGAAGGAGTTTCAGATATTTAAAACTATAGAAAGAAAATAGACTACATCCACCTTCATGGATTATTTTATTGTTGTTACTTTATTTAGACAGAGCTCCAGAGGATATCAATGGTGCTCTCATATTGGGTAATTGAGGACAGTTTACCAAAGGGACTCATGGTCAGGAATGAGGGAAGGCAACATGAGTATTGAAGAACCTTGGAGTTAGTGACAGAGGAGAGCTATTCAGACCAGCTCAAGGCCTGATGGGATGAGGGGAGGGAGCTGTTAGGATCTGGAGGAAAGCTTATGGAGAGGGCTGTCGAGGGTGCTACAGCTTGACAGGGGGAGAGCCAGGGAAGTATAAAGCCTGACATCATTCTTATCTCACCCCTGATCCTCCTGATGGTGCCTTCTATTGCCTGAACCCAATGGCAAGGGAGCCCTTGGACTCATTCTACAAGGTCAGCCGTCCCAGGCAGAGGGCAGGCTGGAGATCGGAGAATGGATCTGGAGGGACAAACAGAAAATATCCAATATAAGGGCTTGATGATTTTCATTTTTGTTAGAGAGGAGCCAGTGAGGAGGGGGATAGTGAAATTGAGCAATAAATTCATTCAACAATGATCAACAGATTTTTTTTTTTTTTTTTTTTGTGAGGAAGGTCAGCCCTGAGCTAACATCTGTGCTAATCTTCCTCTTTTTGCTGAGGAAGACTGGCTCTGAGCTAACATCTATTGCCAATCCTCCTCCTTTTTTCCCCCAAATCTCCAGTAGATAGTTGTATGTCATAGTTGCACATCCTTCTAGTTGCTGTATGTGGGACGCGGCCTCAGCATGGCTGGAGAAGCGATGTGTCGGTGCGCGCCCGGGGTCCAAACCCGGACCACCACTAGTGGAGCGCGCGCACTTAACCACTAAGCCACGGGGCCGGCTCTCAACAGATGTTTATAAGTGACCCTCTGTGTGCTGTGTACACTTCCAGGTGCTCAGGGACAGCAGTGAACAAAACAGACAGCAGTGAACACAAACAGAACAAAACAAAGGTTCCCGCCTTTGTGGACCTTCCATTACAGTGGGGAGAGACGGACAATGAGTAGTAAACGTAACAAAGAAGTAAATTTTCTAATATGTTAGAGGTTATAGTGCTATGGAAAAAAGAAAAGAGCAAGAAAGGGGGATTGGGAACGTGAAGGTGGAGGGGCAGGTTTCAGTGTAAAATGAGGTAATCAGGGTGGGACTCATTGAGGTGACGGTTGATCAGAGACTTGAAGGAAGCGGGGGGGCGGGGTGTGTCGTTTGGGGTTCTGGGTGGGGTAGGTGGGGGGTGAGCCATGCAGATACCTGGGGGAAGAGTTTCCGAGACAGGGAAAGGCCAGTGCAAAGGCCCTCAGGTAGTATACCTGGTGTGCTTGAGGAACAGTAAGGAGGCTAGCAGAGGTAGAGAAGTGAGCGGAAAGGAAGTGGGAGGAGTGGGGTCAGAGACATAAGAGGGTGTCCCATCACGAGGGCATCCCATCACGTGGGGCCTTGCAGCCATTCTAGAGACTTTTGCTTTTTACTCTGAATACATGAAGACCATTGCAGGGTTTTGAGCAGAGCAGTGACATGATCTGACATTTTATTTTATGCTTACATTTTTGGCTGTCAGTTTGTGAGTATATTGTAGGAGGCAGAAGTCGAAGCAGAGAAGTTTATGCGGTACCCAGCCAAGAGATAGTGCAAGTCACAGAAGAGGGAGTGACCAGTGGTCAGACTCTGGATAGATTTTGAAGGTAGAGTCAGGATTTCCCAATAGAGTTGGTGTGGAGTGTGAGAGAGAAGTCAAAGATCACCCATTCATTTCCTGCGGATCTCTAAGGATGGGGCTGCCATCAGGTGATGGGGAAGGCTACAGGTGGTGCTGAGTTGGAGGGAATAAAATTATTAACCTGAAAAACTGAGGGCCTACCTAGGCATTAATTAGGATTAGGTAAAACAGAAAAACAATAACAACAAATAGAGAAAGGATTGTGTGTCTGAAAGTGTGGGGAAGAGCCAGAGGCCTAGACAGACAATCTTCAGTGATTTAGAGTCCTCTAGTGGACAAGTGTATTATTAATCTTCAAGGAATTCTCCCCATCTATGAAAAGTACACTCTTGAAAATACTTATGTTATGTAGCTATTTCTTTTATGCCCGTGGTGGGTGGGAAATGTTATCAGATTCAGTATTGGAAGGCTAGGACTATAAAACAAGTTTAATAGAAGGTTGACCGTTACCTGTTACCTGGACTACTTTGAGATATTCAGTGTGTCAGGACTGCCTGGGGAAGTTAGAGGCTTGGAAATGATACAATCTAAGAATTAGGAAAGAGTCCATTGAGTGAGAATGGCCACTTGTGGGTGGGAGGAGTATGAGGATGGAGAATGTAGTGAAGGTGGGAGAAAAGGAGGTTGTTAGGAGAAATGTCAGTGGTTTGTCACACAGGGTGTCATACTTACTACCTTTCCAGGTCAGACAAGTGGATGTCACCACTGATCATTAGACTAATTTCTCCCCAGCCCATTCTTCCACTATATTCCATTACCACAGCCAGAATTCTGGAGTGGGTCTGCATCTATGTCAGGATGGGCAACAAGTAGTGTGAATTATTTCCTCCAAATATCCCTTAATTTGTCCCTTCTTCCCCATTCCCATTGCACCACCTTAGTTCAGACTCTTATCATTGCTTGTTTGGACTATTTCAAGCCTCTTAACTGATCTCTCTGCCTTTCATTTCTGAACCTCTCCAATTAGTTGTATACCCCATTATTTTCTCCTTACAGTTATTCACAGGATCTCCCATATCCTTCCAGGTGACATCCTAATTTCTTGAAATGGCTTATGAGGCAGATCACAACCTGGCCAGCCTTCTACCTCTCCTGCCTCGCATCTGCTTTCCGTCCATATTCCAGTCACGCTCAACATGTAGTTTCCTGAGCCCGTCACACCATTTTATACCTTTGCAAAGCTGCCCATCTGCCTCCTTCTCTCATCACTTCCACACCTCACCTCTACTCTCAGAGACTTTTTTTTCTTCTGTTCAAGTGTCACCTTCTGTGAGCCTTTTTCTGCCCTCTTTCTCCTCTCTAACTGTTGGGTTCTCAATCTTAAGTGTTCTCATCACACTTCACACAGACTTCTCTTAACACATCTCTCCCTCTGTTGTAATAATAGGCTTCCATGTTCTTTTCCTTGAAAATCTCAGCTGCCCATGGCCCAGGACCTGACATACCAGCCCTAGGTAGAGTAAGAATTCAGTAAAGGATTGTTGGATAAATGAGCTATGTAGATGACAGAGCTCCATGGGGAGAGCCATCAGAGCACTAAAGGAATTACAAGGGAGATCACAAATAAAGACTTCTGTTCCTGGGAGGTACTCTGGCCTTTGTCACTACATTTATATCTTTGAAAAAATTTTTGGGGGGGCCAGCCCAGTGGCGTAGTGGTAAAATTTGCGTGCTCTGCTTCGGGTGGCCCGGGGTTTGCGGGTTCAGATCCTGGACATTGCTCATCATGCCATGCTGTGGTGGTGTCCCACAAACAAAAAATAGAGGAAGATTGGCAGAGGTGTTTTAGCTCAGGGACAATCTTCCTCAAGCAAAAAAGAGGAAGATTGGAAACAGATGTTAGCTCAGGGCTGCTCTTGCTCATCGAAAAAAAAAAAAAATTTTTTTTCTTCAAGTGTCATACAGAGTAACACAGAAAGGTGAACATATCGTTGGTGTACGATTTGATGGATATTTGTAGGCTGCACACCCATGTAACCAACACCCAGGTAAAGAAATGGAACATGACCAGTACCCCAGAAAGCCCCCCTCATGCTCCTTCCAGTCACTGTTCTCATCTCCCACTACCAAGGTTAGCCATTATCCTCACTTCTGATTTTGCCCATTAGTTTTGTCTGACTCTGAACTTCCTAGAAAAGGAATAATTCAGTATGTACTCTTTTTGTGTTTCTTTTGTTCAACACTTTGTCTGTGAGAGTCGTCTATTGTTGCTAGTGGTTGTAGATCATTCATTCTCATTGCTGTATAGTATTCCATTGTGTGGATACACTATAATTTGTCTGTCTGCTATTGAGGGGTATTTGGGAGGCTTCAGGTTTTGGCCATAATGCATAGTGCTGCTATGAATATTCTCGTATGTATCTTTTGGTGTGCATTCTTGTTGGGTATAGACTGAGTGGAATTGCTGATGTAGCATATGAATATGTTCAGCATTTAATAGATATGGCTAATAGTTTTTCAAAAGTGGTTGTGTAAATTTACATTCCCCTCAGCATATACGGGAATTCTGGTTGTTCCACATCCTTGCCAGTACTTGGTATTTCCCTCTTTTTTATTTAGCCATTCTTTCATGTTTGTAGTGGTGTCTCATTGTGGTTTTCACCACATTTTTAAAAAAAATAGTTTTATAGCTAAAGTTCAAGTATTCTTTGTTATCTTAGGAATGTTTTCTCTTATCTAGTTGGTTAAAGTATTTTTGACACTTTTGAGTGGGAGAGAGGGATAAGGTGACTAAAAGCGCAAAAGTTTTGATTATTAATCTGTCTTGTCCTATAGACTTTGCTTGAAATTTGCTTTGAAAAGTAATAGAAATAAGTAAGAAAAGCACAAACTTAGAGACTTTCACCTAATGAAAAAAGCCAATACTACATGCACCGTTTCTAAGAATAAACTGAACTGCCACTTTAGTAGAGATGTTAAACTGTGTTATATGTAACTTAATAGACAGCATTATTCTTGCTACCTATAATCTTTTCACTGGCTTGAGATTAATTTCCTGATTTTTTTTGTTGTCGTTAAAAATGTTTAAGTGTGTAAATCTTCTTGAGCAAAATATCTATGATATAGGGAAAATGTTCGTATTTATAATTTGGGTCTATATTTCAAGAGTATGCTGTTCTTCTCTCTTTTAAATAAGAGAATGCCCCTCCCCCCTTTTTAGGACAGAAAATTTCTCCATCCAAAACTTCCTTTGGGGTCAGTGCAAATTAGGACAGTGACATTGCCTCTGCAGTTATGTAGGCCTCCACAGCGGAGGGCAAGAACCAGTCCATCTCTTTGCTCATCTTCTAATTCAGAATCACTTTGGAGCATTGGAAAGAATGAAAGGTGCAGGGTAGGATTGTGGGTTTCAATACTGGCTGTGTCAGTTACTGCCCAAGATCTTGGAAGCAATCACTTAAACATTTTGAGATTTAGTTTCCTCAACTGTAAAATAAGAAAAGAACAGTCACCTTGCAAGGATCCTTGGGTGGTGGGGACTGAGAGAGAATGTGGGTTAAATGCCTAGTAGAGGGGCTTTCTCTAAATTAATAAAATTTCACATTTTTGAATGTTGGTGATATTAGTGTTCTCTCAGATGTTCCTTTGATTGTAAGCTGCCTTCATGTTCCTTCCAGGGTTGACAACTTTGGCTTGGGCCTTTTACTTCGATCTAAGCAGATAAAACGCATGGTCTCTTCATACGTGGGAGAAAATGCAGAATTTGAACGGCAGTACTTAGCTGGTGAATTAGAAGTAGAGCTGACACCTCAGGTAAGAAAATTTCTCTGCTTTTCTTTTACACTACTAACTTATTTTAAAATTTACCTTTTGCCCCCCTAGAAATTTTTTTGTGCAAGGGAGGTAAGGCAGAGATGATGCTATTTTGCCAAACAAAGAAATTTTTGTTCGTAGGTCACACCTGCTGATTGCTGAGGACTAACATTTTCTGTCAGTGTGCACTGAAAAACAAGGTATTTCGAGTAAAAATATCCAGGCTGCAGGATAAATTTTTAAGTTTGGCACTATAATGTATATTGTGCTAGAAGCCTGCAAAAGGACTTACTGAAATGTTTGAAGGTTGTCCTAAAAGTCAATTCCTATGAATCATAGAGTTAGAAATTTGTGAGTAATTTGGTCTTGCTGAGACATACCAGGAGAGTGAAGCCCATGGAGGGTAAGACTGGCTACATCACAGAGTAAGTGCTGAGAGCAGAGCCCAGATCTCCAGGGAACTGATGCTGTTACAGAGCAAGCAATTACTGCAGTTAATCTAGAAAGTTTCCACTCATTATGTACACCATCTCCTAACTGATTGAAGAGTTTGTCATGGAGGAAACTTTTTGAAGTCATTTGAGTAAAACAATGGTCTACAGATTGTATGTGTTGGTCTCCCATTTTGACATGGTCTCTGCAACTGAACCCACTACTCTGCTTTATTTTTGTCAACAGAAAATATTATTACCATTGACTTTACCAAATTGGTAATAATGTAATGTAGCATAATTTTGTAAAAAATCTTCAGTAATTAAATCACAGTGTATGCTTGTCTAGAGAGAACATGCATGGAGGAACTGTTCTTTCTACCTGAAGCCTCACAGTGTTGCAGTCCCACCTGATTCCTCTGTAGTGTTGGCACTGTGCTTTCATAGCATTGCATTATGCTTGGTATTTTCCAATTTTCGTTTAAAGTTTTTAGAAAATAACAAAAGGTATACTGTCTTAGTCTGCTTGTGCTACTATAACAAAATACCACAGACTGGGTGGCTTAGACAACAGAAATTTATTTCTCACTGCTCTGGCAGCTGGAAAGTACAAGATCACAGTGAAGGCTGATTTGGTTCTTGGTAGAGGGAAGGAGGAATAGGGAGAGCCAGAGAGCGAGCATGTGTACAAGTGAGTGTGCTCTGGGGTCTCTTATTATGAGGACACTAATCCTATGGGATCAGGGCCCTACCTTTATGACCTCACTTAACCTTAATGACTTCCATGAAGCCCTATCTCCAAATACAGTCACATTGGGGGTGAGGGTTTCAACATGAATTTTAGGGGAGGACACAATTCAATCCATAGCATATACTTTTCCTCTTCACATTATAGGTTGAGATACCATATCCTTCCAGTTGTGGAGCTATTGAAAATTAACTTGTGAATTACCTTTTATACCTTTTGCCCTTATTTTTTCAGCATATACATGGTAGAGGAACTTCCTTATTATTTCTTTTATATTCTTTCTTTAAACTAAAGGAGGTCAGTGTCTCCCTCCCCATCTTAGTGGCATGTAATAAACAGTGGCCCTGGCAATGTGTTTTGCAGCCTGAGATCTGGGGAGGAAGTGTTGATGAACTGGTAGGGATTAGGACTCCCTTTGGGAGTTGGATGTGGGTAGTACCTACAGAAGACCTGTAGAAATAGTCTACTTTCAGGCCCTTGCCCAGCTGGACAGAGAGAAGGAGGAAAGTGTTCAGGGAGGGTGAACTTTAAAAAATATTTTATTTTTTATTTTAGTTTATTTTTTTGCTGGGAAAGATTCACCCTGAGGTAACATCTGTTGCCAATCTTCCTATTTTTTTTTTCCTTCCCCAAAGCCCCAGTACATAATTGTATATTCTAGTTGTAAATCCTTCTAGTCCTTCTTTGTGAGCTGCTGCCACAGCATGGCTACTGACAGACGAGTGGTGTAGTTCCAAGCCCAGGAACTGAACCCAGGCCGCCGAAGCGGAGCACGCCGAACTTGAACCACTGGGTCATCAGGGCTGGCTCTAAAAAATATTTTCAAGTAGGGGTTATTATGGTTGTTTTGATGATTTAATTTTGTGCATGTTGTTAACTTGAAAAACCTACGACGAAAGTAGAGCCATCTCTGCCCATTAGAGTAGAGAACCAGTTATCTGGAAGATTTTCCGTTATTCCACAAGTCCCTCCTTCCCCAGAATATCCCATCTACTTAAGTGACTCTGTGTCTGAAATCCCAACTATTAGTTCCTTCTTTGATTTTAGTATTTAAAGGCCCCAGTTAAAGTAGAAAATTGTTTTCAGGTTGGGACAATATGAACACCCTGTCATTAATACCTAAACCAATTCTTATTGCTGATTAACCAGTCAATTTTCTAGTATGAATATGAGGTAGATAGACCATTACAGTAGGTTTCAGTGTTAGGGAGGGTGTCAGGAAATGTTCAGGGCCCGAGTTATTCTCCTACGGGAAGACTGAGTGGAAGGGCACTTGAGGGTGGGAGAGAGCTAGGGAAATTGGGCTTGAAATCACTGCTACCTAGGAGGGAGATAAAGATGATCAAAAGAAGACACAAAGAAACTTGGCGTATAGCTGTTTCTGCTCTGGAACAAAATTTGAAATATTCTTGGCTTTAAAAAGCCAGTTTACCTATATGTTGTCCTCTTTGCCTAACTTTGGATTTTTTCCTTAGCAGGTAATGTAGTAGAAAAAATACTTAGGAGAATGGTTTAGAATAAATTCTAAATCAATTTGAATATTTTACATTATTATTATATAATTATGACTTATTAATGGATAAGATTCAGGCCAGAGCTACATATAGCACACAGTAAAACAAAAAATTATATGTATTTTAATGTGTACAGTTTAAGTTATATATTTCAGATTTGAAAATTAATTTTAAAATATTACAAATAGACTGATGTAGAATATGATGTCAAGAAACCAGTGGGAGGCTTGGAAGCAGGAAGCATGATTATACAAATAAGCAGTTACATTTTGAATGTGGATTAAGATTAGAGAGAGGTTGTTGTCTAGAGAGGCAGTAATTGTTTTAAATGAATCTTCTAGCGTACAGCATTAGTGAAATACACCAGTATACAATGCTAGGTATGTAGGATTCTAAAAAGGAAATTTAACTCTAGTCTCGGGAAGGCGCGGACCCACAGACACAGGAGACCGAGCTTGATGCAAATGTACGAGGTTTTAATTAAGCGGAGCTCCGGGTCGACACGTATCTCTCGCAGGAGACAAAGAGGTCGACCCCGAACCTTAAGGGGCAAGCTCTTTTATAGGATTCGGAAGCATAAAGCGGGAAAAGGTT